AAGTTAATATGTAGATTAAACTTTCCAAGTAAAAACCAGACACTTGAGACTATAAATATTCGTTAAAATAGTTTTGATAATACTTTTCTTCCATTTTTTCTCTCCGCCTGCGTATATGATCCTGTGTTCATTTTGTCCGGTGGATGTAAATCTCCAGGGTTACCTACCTGATGATTTAATGATTCGAAATAACCCATTTACATCCCTAAAATATTGATATTTAACCTGCTTATTTCTTATCTTCGCTTACCGAGCGCTGGATCAATCCTAGGGTGTTTGGATCTGTGGGGTTCAGCGTCCAACCAGTGATTAAGGAGATAGAATTTAATGGGAGCGGGATACCCTGCCCATATTTCGAAAAATACAACGCAAATTTCAAGAAGAAAAAACACGATAAGGAACGTTTGAAAAAAATATAACATTGTATATTTATCTTGTGAATAGGGAAAAAAAAGGATTAATGTCTTTTAGTTCGTTTAAGAACAAAATGTGATTTTGATAAAAAAATGTCAGTGTTCGTTGTCTTTTAACAGAGTAGCATATAAAAAATGTCCTCATTTTTTCTTTTGTTTTTGTATAGTTGACAAAATAGTTAAAAAGGGCGAGCAATCGACCCTTTGCAGTTTATTGAAAAAGAAACGTTTTAGTAATTTTTTTTTTTTTTGTGAATGAGGAATAAAGATAAAGGAAAATGTACTTATGAATTGTTTTTGAAGTCAGTTCTAAATTTGTTGTTACATTGTTCCTTCCTACTCCACTTTTCGGCTCTTTGTGTAAGTTTGAGTCTAAGTGATGAAATTTACTGTCAATCTTCTGTGATTTTTGCGCGATTCTTTCTCTGACTGACTGACTGGCGACTGACTTGAAAACTCTGTATTTATTGTTGACTTTTTTTCACACTGGCTCGTTATCTTTTTTTTTTGGTTTAGCAAATCGCCCCCCTTTCATTGGTCAGAAAATTAATTTCACACCTTATTGTGAAATCTGTTTTTGGTTGTTTTGATCCGATTTTGCGGGTGTGCAAATCTACTTTGTGTTTTTTGTCATCTGTTGGGATATAGGATTTGTATCCTATAAACCCCCTCCAGATTGATAAATATTGAAAATATTTTTCAATATCTAATATATGTTTTAAAATGAGTAGGCCAGTGTACGTGTCTACCCGATCTTGTGGTAATGTTTTTAGGTGTGTTTGGAGGTGTAGAAAATGTTTCACTTACGTTGGTATTTGTCGTGGCTGTAGAATGTTCTGACGTACTTTCCTTTGTAGGGAAATCCAAGTATGCTGGTTTTTGAAAATGTCCAGAAGGGGACTTAGTATGTCTGTTTACTTTGCTTTTTTGGCACTTTAAACAAGTTTGAGTCCAGCGTTTTATGTCAGTATGCATGTTTGGCCAGACAAAACGACTGCTAATCAACTTGTCAGTTGCTCGGTGTCCGGGATGTGAGAGATTGTGAAAATGCAGAAATATCTTTTTTCTCAATGAAGGTGGAATATATGGTCTTGAATAACCAGTCCCAACGTCAGAGAGTAGTGTTTTTGTTCCAAATGGGACGGGGTGTTCCTTCAATTGTAAAGAAGTGTCCTCTTTTATTTTGTATAATGTGGTATCTTCCTTTTGTTCATCTGCAATGAGGTCGAAGGTAAGGGTTTCAGAATCGATGGATTGTATCGTGGAGCGCGAGAGTGTATCTGCCACGATATTGTCTGAACCTTTAATATAGCGGATATCCGATGTAAATTGGGATATGTAGTCCAGTTGTCGGGTATCTCTGGGTGTGTATTTATCTGTGTTCACATGTAAAGCGTAAGTGAGGGGTTTGTGGTCTGTGAAAACAGTAAAGTTTCGTCCCTCGAGCAGATGTCGAAAATGCCTTATTGCTAAGTAAATAGCTAGTAACTCTCTCGAGAAGGTACTGTACTTCTGCTGTGCTTTGTTTAATTTGACCGAGAAAAGGAGATTGGCTTTTTGAACCATTTAGCTTCTGATGTAGAACTGCTCAATTGAATCTCCTGAGGCGTCAGTTGTCAATGTAAGTGTTGTGTTAGCATCGTCACTGATGTAAGAGAGCTTGGTAAAATCTGCTAACGCTTTTTTAGCATTTTGAAATGCAGCTAACGCTTCTCCGTCAATCAGTATTTTTGCATTTTCTTCTGTTTTTGCAGCAAGTTTGTGAGTGGGGTCAAAATTTCTGGAACAACCTGGAATAAATCTACGGTAGTAATTTATTAAACCGAGAAATCGTCTTAATTGACGCAGTGATGTCGGTTGCTGAAAGTTTTGTATTGCTGCTACTTTCTCTGGGACAAGTGTGATTCCGTTTTTGTCGATCACATGGCCCAAGAAATTTAACTTTGAAACAGCAAAAATCACATTTGTGGACATTTATCTTTGGTTCAAAAAATATGCCAGTCTCTCGAAGACTTGTTGAATATGGTATAGGTGTTCTTTTTCCATCGCGACTGGCGATAAGCACGTCATCGATATATGCAAAAGGTAAAAGGCAATCCTCTCAAAACTTCATCAATGAGTCTTTGAAAGGTTTGGGCGGCATTACGTAACCCAAATGGCATCCTGGTGAATTCCTAGAGTCCAAAAAAGGAGTGGTAATTGCAGTTTTCTTTATGTCTTCTTCTACTACTGGAATTTGGTAGTACGCCTTAACTAAATCCAATTTTGTAAAAACTGTGGTTCTTTGCAAACCTATGGCGAAATCATGTAAGTGCGGTATAGGATATCTATCAGAACAATTTTGCATTGAGATTCCTAAAAATCCTCACAAGGTCGCCATGCGCCAGCTTCTGGTTTCGGAACCATATGTAGCGGAGAGGAGTATGGGCTATTTGAAGGACGTATGATGCCTAACTGCAACATGCGTTGAAATTCCTCTTTTGCTATTTTATATTTGTCCGGATGTAATCTGCGTGGTGATGCGTGTGTAGGTGGTCCAGCTGTGGTGATATAATGTTTAGCAGTATGACGGATTTCATCTGTATGTGTTAAAGGCGTGGTTAGTGTAGGAAATTTTTTTTATCAATTCATGTAGGCCATTAGCCGTTGGTATTGCTGAACTAATTCCCGTTGACTTGTAGATTGAGGTGATTCCCTTTGTTCTTAGGTTTGTGTTACTGTCAATGAGAGAGTGTGTAGCCATATTCACTGATAAATCGAAATGGGATAGGAAATCCGCTCCTAGGATAGGTGTTTTCACATTTGCTTGTGTGAAAATCCATGGAAAAGATCTTCTTAGACCCAAATCGAGCGTTAGTGATATCTCACCGTATGTTTCTATCTTTGCTGCCGTATGTTTTCTATCTTTGCTGCCTGCAATGTGTATGTGGAGAATGTAGGCTTTTGTTTCGTATTTGGTGGGATAACACTGATCTGAGCGCCGATGTCGACTAAAAATAAATATCCCTTACTTCTGTCCCGGATGTAAAATAGACGACTCTCTTGTTTTAATCCAGTAGCTAACGTCGTCTTTACTTGCTGCTGGCATAGTCGTTTCCCTGGTGTTGTGTAGAAATGTGAGAAGTTTTTGAATTGAAGTTGCATGGTTCAGTGCGCTTCCTTGCATTTCTTCCAAATTTATAATGATACCAACAGGTATCGTGTGTAACTTGATCTCTGGAGAAAGAGTTTGATCCACTTCGACGTCTGTGTGGTGAGTAGGATCTATTTCTGAATGTTGGACGAGGACGCTGAGATTTCTGTACTTGTATCAGACTCTGTGATTCGCCATTTGCTTATACAGCTGCGACAATTCAGATGTCTGGTAATGTTACTGTATCTGTTGGTGCATGTGATGTGGTGTATACATTTTTGTCTTGGTTGTTGTCATGTATTTTGTCTGCTATTTTCTCCAGCTGTAAATCATCGCGGAGTGATGCGAGTGTCTGTGTTGTATGTGTTTGTAGTTTATCCATCCACAGTTTCTTTAACACCACTTCGGACATGGTGTTGTCTCCTAATAAGGATCGCATTTTTCTTAAATCTGTGAAGATTTCATATATCCTTGGTTCACATTATTGAATAAGTCGTGTAACCTTCTTTCCTCCGATTTACCGACACGTCTAATAACTGCAGCTTTCAACGTGTCATAAGGTTTTTCTTCCGGCATGTCATTAAGTAGATCCACTACCTCGGATGCTACATCTGCGGGAAGTTTTTCGACAACGTAGGCATATTTTGAGCTTCGCGATGTAATTTTCTTTGCGTTGAAAATTGCATTTAACTGTGCAAACCAAATTTGTACGTTAGTTGGGTTGTAAGTTAATTGTTATAGCGGCTTCCATAGGTTCCGTAGTGTGTATATCCATTTTCTATGTGTCTTCTCTGACTGACTGACTGACTGACTGGCGACTGAGTTGAAAACTCTGTATTTATTGTTGACTTTTTTTTCACACTGGCTCGTTATCTTTTTTTTTTTTGGTTTAGCAAATCGCCTCCTTTCATTGGTCAGAAAATTAATTTCACACCTTATTGTGAAATCTGTTTTTGGTTGTTTTGATCCGATTTTGCGGGTGTGCAAATCTACTTTGTGTTTTTTTAGCCATTTGTTGGGATATAGGATTTGTATCCCTTTACGACGTTTATGATAACCGTCGATATATGACGGTCTGGTGACACCTGTAGCGCATGTTGCTCCTTGCTGGGCAAGGAGTTAATTCCAACAGACTTAACGCCGTTAGGTTTTATATTTTGTTTGTTAAATAACATGATACTTCTTGGGATTCACATTAGAGTGGTTTCCCAGTTGCTTTCTCCATGGTGATTTATTGAGACACCACCTCTAGTTAGCTGGCCGTTGACTCGTCAAGAGTTCTTTTGACCTTTATTAGGCTTTATTTTTCATTCTACAATGTTGCGAACAACCCGCCTCAATGGCAAGAACTTGGAGTTCACCAAAATAAAACTACACTGTAAACTACTAAGTGAAATTTGAAAGGAAAAAAAACATTTATTGCATTGGCATTCAATATAATAAAACACAATTTTTACGGTCATATCATGTTGAAACACCGGTTCCTATACGATCACCTTAGTTAAGCAATGTCGAGCCTAGTCAGTACTTAGATGGGTAACCGCTTGGGAATACTGGGTGTTGTATGCTTGGATGTGAGGGTGGTATAATGGATAATGGTTCGGAATTGTTAATCGGAGAGCCGAGTTCCAATTCCCATTGGGTTCGTTATATTCACTTATGCGCAAATAATCTTGGGTAAAGTATGAATCCACCTCTTCTACTCCTATCTATGGGTTAATTAGTAAAGCTTACATCGCTAAAACCATTATTAAATCTAAAAAATAAATTTCCTACAAAATATTTAAATTTCAGCATTAAATAACCCATAGAGCTGGAACGTCCAGCCAGCGTCCCGCGGTTTGCACTGCAGCTCACTGGATATTTGCATTCGGCCCACTGCGCCATAAAATCCTTGGGTATATTTTCATTTACATTAGTAACATATGTCGAGAAAACTGTTCTCAGATTGTGATAGTAGGTTGACTTCCCCATTGTATTAAAAGGGGGAAGGGGACAAAGGTCTTTGTCGGGACACACCGGCTGGTGCGTTGGGCAAGGGTCAGAGCTAAATAAAAATTAGCTTATCTAGAAAACTGCTGTGATAATTCTTTTCGTGCATGAAAAAAAAAATGCCGAAAGAAATAAATTGAGCGATTCCCATTTAAAACATTCTTACAATAAAGTCTAGGACCATAAATCGGCATCTACGCAGACGACACTACCATTTGTTCCTGTCTAAATGGTAAATCCGGCATTGCTGACAAAGTTAACCTGGCCGTTGGTCTCGAAAACGACCTCCAATCTGTGGTTGATTGTGGCAGGAAATAGATTGTGAATTTTAATGCATCCAAAGCGAAACTGCTGTTGCCTTGATCCACGTTCTTTTTATCCTTTCTTCACCCCCTACCCGGTTTTTCCCTACTTAAATTTTCTGTAGCCCTTTGCGTACTAGGGGCACTCCCGCCTTGCTTGGAGTGAATTGCTTTAAAAAAAATAAAATAAATAAAATAATAATAATAATAAAATATTGAAAATAAAGGAAAGCAATGTCAAAAATCACACTCAATTTATTTTATTTTGTGTATGTATAATAATTAAAGAAATAATACTATAATTTCTTTTTTTTTTACTGTCAATAATACAGTATTTTTGTAATTATATATATTTGTTATTGAAATTTGATATTCACAGCGTTTTGAACTTTTAAAATAAAGTACTTTTGTGGCCCGGTGAATATACTCAAAATTTTTAATCTGGCCCATCAGGAAAAAAATGGTTGGACAACCTTGCCATAGAGGTTGATATACTAAACCAAAACAGCCAACAATTTCCTTTTGTGTACCTTTTTAGTAGGTGAAGATTTAATTTGCAATTTAGCATCCGCGCTCAGTTCGCATTAAAGATTTCCAGAATACTTAAATTTATGTGTAATTGTACATGCTTCATTCGAATCTGACTTGATAAATTTGATAAAATCTACCGTTTTAGAGCTATCGACAGTAAAACTTCAGATTCATTCGCGACGTTGGCGGCAGCCATTACTGGCGTTGTTTGCATACATTCGCTGCGGAAAGCTAAGCGCGGAAGAGAACGTAGTTAACGGTCTTGTTTATTGATTTTACATGTTTCAACTTGTCTCCATTACTGCGCAAGATAACTATATTGCGTGCGCAATAATCAACACAAGTGAATATTCCAGTCATAGCTATTCCGCAGCGAATGTATGCAAACAACGCTAGTAATGGTTGCCGCGACACGAATGAATCCGAAATTTTACTGTCGATAACTCCAAAACGGTAGATTTTATCAAATTTATCAAGCCAGATTCGAATGAAGCATGTACAATTACACATAAATGTAAGTATTCTGGAAATTTTTAATGCGGACTAAGCGCGGGTGCTAAACTGCAAATTAACCGATAACAGATCAAACTTAAAATGATTTACAATATAATCTTAAAACCCCAACAAAAAACCCAGAAAAACTAAAGCAGTAAAAGCTTTAAATAAGGTTGAAAATACAAATACTCTTAAAAAAGGTGCACCTACCTAATAGTAAGACGCAAAAAACAGGATATTTTGGCAAATCCACTTATGTCACTTGGGACTTTTAACACTTTTTTTTCTTCTTTAGAATACAGTTCTATTTCACACTTTCACTTTTTTCCGTTTGTTTCTTCTGCGAGAAACAGCCCAGCTCATCCACAGGTGACAGCCAAAAAATAGCCTTTCCTTCTGGAACTTTATTATTGCCTCCAGGATGAAGTTTTAATCTCTCCTCGTCTTCTGACTTGGTTAAAAAAAACAACAAAACTATTACACCACCTAGTCGAAAATCATATTACCTTCTCTAATCCACTGTAGTGTAAACTTATCATCGAAGAAGGCTCCAGCCAGATTGATCTTACTTTAAAATGAAGGTTTTTAAATAATAAATGTAGGCAATTATAAAGAAATAACAGTCTTGGTTTGTCTTTTTACACTTACTTTTTTTTTTTTTTTTTTTTAGGGAGAAGTGTATTAAAAGAAAGGTTGTTTATAAAAAATATTTTTAAGTTTTTCTTTTTACTAAATTTGAAGTTAGCTCTAAAAAGAACCACCAAAAATAATTCGCTCAAGCCAGACTGTTTCAAATTTAATTTTTAAAATTTGAAAAATATAGTCTATATTGCACAATGAAGAGATTAAAAAAAAAAAAGAAAAAAGTTTAACTGGCCTATGAAGGGTGATGAAAAGTTCTCGACCTGACTTATTTCCCAAAATCTAACCATATACCAGAATTAATTTTGGAAGGGTTTCTTGGTCAAGGCAAGAACTTTTCAGTACCCCTCGTATAAATTTATATCCCCCCCCTCATAAAATTTACTGAAAGAGATTAACTCGGATTTACGTGTTTCGGAAATTTCTAACAACAGAACTTAACTTTTTTTGTCACCGTTAAGAAAGGGAAATAACTCTTAATTGACCTTAAGCAATGGCTATAGTCTCAAATCTTGTGGATAGAACTTTTCCTTCGATCAATTTAAGAATATTCGGAGATGTCAGCCTTACATGTCCATTCCAGTTTAACACGAAAGTTGTTAACTACTTTTATGTCATATGGAAACAAACTGTCTTGTCGTTTCTGCGGTCGACAAACGAATAATTTTTTTATTACTACACCTATATTTTACGTGAATGCAGGTAAAAAAATAATTAATTTTACTTTATTTCAATAATGTCTAATTAATTGTTTATAATTCCGATTCGATATAAATTTTTACATTCTGATCGTTTCTCAAGATAGTTTCATATCGTTTGTTTCCACATTAAAACTTAGTTTTTATCAAAAATATAAAAATTCCGGAAGAAAAGAAGGTCATGTTCGGACAAAAAACAGAATAAATTAAGGAAAAAATAATTTTCCAACTAAAATAACACCGAATATTTTTTCTTAAATAATCCGATAAATAACTGAATTTGTTTTGAACTGTTGTGAAGTAATTATTAACTAAAGGCGATCCTTCATCAGACCCTAGATTGGCACTACAAAATCACCAAGCAAGAGCAATAACAAAAAACAAAACGAAAACAAACATATCAGTTGAAGACTTGCAACAACAGCAACAACAAAAATGAGTAGCACATGTAACAACTAGAAGGGAAAACGATGTTATAATTTTGGTATTAACCTATCACATTACTAATAGAAAAGGTTGGGAAGGAAACTCCTATTATTTTACTATAAAGAGCGATAATGCTGAACTTGAAAAGTCAAATTTCTCGAAAAAATTTTTAAGCAAAGATTTTTTCAATCTGTTCTAACATGGCATAAACACAGTAATATGACAAAATTCCACCCTCTTATCCCAAAAGTTAACAAAATCACAGTAAATAAGTTTTATAAAAAGAAACAAATTTAACAATGAAAATTCAAGGGACTTTTTCACTTTTAATTCAAAATTTAATGTCAAATGGAGACAATAATAATAATTAATAATATCCAATATATACACTCTAATGTCAAATTGAGACAATAAAACACAATATCCAGTACAATGTAACCCGGATATAAGAGAGTTGTCGGGATCGGAGAAGTCGTCTCTTATATCCGGGTTTGGTCTATTTTATATACATTAACACAGGCTCTAATTTGGGACCAGAGAAAATCTCTCTTATATCCGGGTTACACTGTATATACACTTATTTCATGCTTCATTTATGTATACATTTATTATTATTATATTGTTGTCTCAATTTGGCATTAAAATTTGAATTAAAAGTTCCTTAAATTTTCAATGTTAAATTAATTTCTTTTGATACATGAGACTGGGATTTTGTTCACTAAGAAGACGCTGGGTTTTTGTCATGGATTCATAGTAACACTGCTCAGTCAATGAATACTGAATGTTTCCTGTATATGCCTAATCTTACCATTATCATAATAGACTTAAAACCTTGCTAATCATTATTTTTATATCAAGTTAAAATTGTAATTTAGTTATAATAAGAAATACATGCAGTCACTGCAGCAGTAGTTCCTCCATCAAATCTTTAATTATTGTTTTTCAACTATAATAAATGAAAAATAATGAATGATTAATTCATTTTTTAGTCCATATACTTGGAAGCAGTTTTCTGTTATCAGGGATTAGAGATGGAGGAAATACAAAAAATTGGATTTCTTTCTTTTTGGGAAAATGTAAGCTAAAAATATTATTAAGACAATTTTAAAATGGACATCATGTTTTGGCCTGTTTCATGCTTGAATGCAATCTTCAGTCCTGAAGATTGTGTTCATGTATAAAACAGACTTGGTGTTAACCTCAATGTCCACTTTGATATATATATATATATATATATATATATATATATATATGTGTGTGTGTGTGTGTGTGTGTGTATATTGATATAATAGGAAAGAACTGTTAGATTGATGATCCGAAGTTCTTTAGTATTTTATTTTTTAAAAACAGTGGCTCGATACAGAAGTAGAGCCTAGGTCATAATTATTTTTAAAAAAATATGATTCCATTGCGACAGAAATTATTATGTTTTGAAACTGGTCAGCAATATTCAGGTTTAATTTCAATATTAAACCCTAACTACCAGGTGGCAGTCTCATCCTCAGGCAATGTTTAGAATAAGAGGATGAGACTGCCACCCGTTAGTTAGGGTTTAATATTGAAATTAAACCTGAATATTGCTGACCAGTTTTTAAAAATAGTAATTTCTGTGTTGCGATGGAATCATATTAGAAAATAATTATATATATATATATATATATATATATATATATATATATATATATAAAAGAAAGAACAGTAAGATATATAATCTGATGTTCTTATAGATATTTTTATTTTACAAAATAGTGCTCAATGTAAATTTACAGAGCATTAAAATTATAAATTAATTGATTTAAAATGTTTTTTTCGCTACACAGTTCTAACCATGTTTCAAAAAAAAATTATATTTTATGCATATATATATATATATATATATATATATATATATATACATAGAATATAATTTTTTTTTTTTTAAATTGCCAAAAAGTAAATGCTAAGAACAGTGGATTCTTAATCTGTCTGTTCTTTCTTTTGATTTGCAGATATTTGGTCTGATTTGTTTTGTTTTACAGCATATCAACCTTAGCGGGTTATTTAATGATAACAAGATTTTCATTGCTGATAATAATTTTTTCTTGCCAAAAATGTATTACTGGTACTAAAAACTATTTTTACACTTTCATAGTGTTATGACCCCAGTTTGGGGTTAACTATTTTCCCATAGCTGGTACCCTAACAGGTGCTACCACCCTGGCCAGGGTGGACTTGGGAACACCAGCAATTAAGAGATGGTTCCATGCTCCTCAAAACCTTCTGATAAGAGGCCTTGCTGTCAGATGTAGTTCATTGTCTTACTCTGGATGCAGATATATATATATATATATATATATATATATATATATATATATATATATATATATATATATATATATATACACATATATGAATAAAAAACAGACCACATTAAGATTCCATGTAATTTCACCATAACCCCTTTAACATTTTAAATTTTTAAATTTAAATTTTGGGAAGTAAAGTCTGATGATCCAGAACCCTGTTAAAGGGGTTATGGTGAAATAGCTTATTACATGGAATCTTAACGTCGTCTGTTTTTTATTCAAACATATCTGCTCTGGATTTTACATTGAGCTCTCTGGATATCATCCTCCTCAGGTCTACCCATACGGATTACCTAAGTTTGCATAAACTATATATATATATATACATACATACATACACCTCCAAAGAAATTTAACACCTAAGGTTTAAAAATGAATTTTCAAAAATCAAAGCTTTTCCTGAAGCTTTTATTTTAATTTTAATTTCAAGCTAATAGATTAAATTTAATATTCCCAAAAAGCAAAATACTTTGCTGTATTTCACAACTAATTTAAATTCACTGGAAGGAGTTTATTTTTTTTTTTTTTTAAATTGCTAAAAAATTTTAGCCATTTTTAGCAGAATATAATTCACTTCAAGTCTTTCAAAAATAAAATGTGCTTTTCTGAAACTTTATTTGAGAAATATTAGCTGATTAACTAATTTGAAATGAGTATCACTTTTAGTTTAAAATATTGCAGAAATGCATTTTTTTAATACAGAGGAAGGTGATTTTATTAGGTGTTGAAAGTATATATGTAAAAATTACTTGAATATAATGTGAGCACTTTTTTTATATAATTTTGAACTACCCAGTAATCTTAAACGTTTTGGATAATATTCTTCATAATCTAATGTTTTATTGAATTTTAGTTACTTTGGCTTTAAATTTATTATAGTTACTACTTCTATTTTCTGATAATGTTGTTTATAGATGTCTGTATTTACAAAAATCAGCATGTTTATGCACACACAAAAAAAATTCAAAATTCTTTTTAAAATACTGGGGGTGGTCATTGAATTGTAGTAAGCTTTTCCATTTATGATCAGTAAATATAGTTTTTACTAAATAATATCATCTAAACTGTACAAATTAATACAGAATTTTAAAAGATTCAAAACTTTATGAATTATTCTAATTAAGATTTTTAAATATGTAAACAATTGAAAAAATTCATTATTTATCAAAAAAAACTTTTTCTTAAGATAGTGTCCATAATATATATTATTCATAAAAGCAATTAAAAGATTTTCTAATTTAATAATGTCTTAGTTGTCCTGTTTTTATATGAATTCTGTGTATAGCTAATATAAACATTAAGTGGTACAAAAATTAATTTCTTGAAATTTCATAAAATTAAATAAGTGACATGGTGTAATGGCTGTAATGAAAATGATTTTACCAAGATTTTCTGAAAAATAAACATTTCTTAAATAATTTAATTCATTTGTGATTAAGTCCTGAAAGTTTAATTAAAATCCAATAATTATTTTGCAAATCAGTGTCTTTTTCACGACAAAAAGACATTAAAATTTCCTATGTTAATTTATGGTCTCCTGCAGACACAAGAAAAACAAAATTTTTAATGAAAATTTTGAACTTTCTAAAAAGGACCAACAAACATAATTTAATAATAGGAAAATATGTTGAAAGTAACTGTTAAATATTGTTTATTTTATAGCATGATAAAATCATTGTAGTTAACATTATCCAAGAGATACAAGGAATCATTAATAACATGAGAATTTATTATTTAAAAATCTTTTCTCTAATGAAAAGTCAGTTCTTTGGAATCCATTGAAAATGGTTCAATATTGTTTCTATGAAGAAAAAATTGGAAGAAAGTGGTAATGTAGAACATAGTTCAAATTTTCTGTTATTCAAAAAACAGCACCAAACATCAGTTACATTATATGTATGATTAAATACATTTAAACGTACTCATTTTAAGGTTGCTACCAATAGTTAATAATTAAACTCTATGCTGAATGAGAGAATTTATAATTATTTGCAAGTAAATAAACAAGAACTATAATTAGTACTTAATATACATGGAGTTATCTCCCTTGAAAAATCATAAATTGTACTAAAAATTACTTTATTTTTAAAGTTAACTTTTTAATGGTATTGTGCTAATATTTTGCTATGACGTTTCTTGCTGTGTTACAGTCACACTCCCACAACCAGAAATCTAATAAGCAGAACTTTTTAAAATCAAAACAAAATGTATTATTTTAACGTAGTTGTCATTCTTCATTCGTTAAATTATTACCGTTAAGATTTATCTCCCTTGTTTCCTCCTTGAAATTTGGAATTCTTTCAAAACAAATCTTTAGTTTTACACCAATTAACATTTTTTTATCAATTTTTTAAGCATTGTTCAGCAGTTTTTATTTTATTTCTAGCGCCTCACATTGGGCATGTGTACACCACTGTATTATCAGATGCTTTTTCTCGATGGCATCGCCTCAAAGGACATGAAGTTCTCTTTACCACAGGGACTGATGAACATGGCCAAAAGGTACAGCACTTTTACTGATATTATTTTGGCAGTGTTTTATGACTTAATCAGTAAACAAATTGGGATGAAAACTCTTTATTCATAAGTGTAGCTATCCAATTACAATATAAATGTGTTAAAGTTTTGTTCTGAGCAGAAGATTTATAAATCTTTAGATGATCTTTTATGTGTGAATATGTTTCCATAATTTTCACATATTTGCATTATAAATGTATGTTTATCTATATACACTCACTGACATACACATAATATGACCCCTTTATAATGTTTGTGTCCATAAAATGTCATCATGAAAAAAGTGAGCTTGAACTAAATTGAGGTTGGAATCAATATCATAAAAAAATACAAGCTCCAAAGAAGAAGAAAAAACAAAATTAACTCTGACCCATCAAATCAAATTAGGATGCATAAAATAACAATTTTACTCTGTGTGTGTATTTTATATTGATATATATATGAAAGATAAAGAATAAATAAGAAATGTTTATAAATCTAACATGTTTCACTTTATTAAAGCTTCATCAGAAAATGAGATTTGGAGAAAGAAAGAAATTCAGGTATTTTTATTTTTGTGTTAGATTTTCATTGATTAAGCAGCCTTCATGTGCATTTGATTTGTTAAGCATCATTAGTATAAACTATGGCTTTCTTAACACAAGTAGAGATGACACATCCTCTCAAAGATTTCCAAAATAACAAATTCCAAGCATAACTGAAAAAAAAAAATCATAAATATTGCTTTATGTATGTAAGTGTATCATAATACTAGTTTATCTATGTGGGATTTGAATTATTTCTCCATATCTCATTCTTTATCCTATCATTCTGTGATATTACATTCCATATTTGATCTGTATTTGATCCCAATTCATATATATATATATATATATATATATATATATATATATATATATATAATCTCAAAATGGACACCAAGCAGTGGAGTTTGTTTCATATTTCAATGCAATATTTAGGCCATTGCATTGAAGCATGAAACACTGTCACCTCTTGGTGTTAACTTCAGTGTCCACTTTTATATTTATACACACTCTGTCTCTAATATTGAGTACTTTTACTCATAATTATAGAATACCTTAAAATTAGATTTTTATAATATATATGCTAATAATAATAATAATAATGAATATACATTTTGTTCCTCACTGTTTGAGACAACTCTTTTATGTCTGTGCACTGTATTATTACCACCAGCACTCACTGTACAATATATATATATATATATATATATAATTGTTTATTTGAATATTATAGCATAAATATGCTATAAAATCACTACAAAAATAGCCATTTTGTTTCAACACTTCTGGTATCTTATCAAGTGATGGTGTTGAACGTAAAATAAAGGGTTTTAAAGTGTTCAAATTCATCCAAACACCCCTCGCTAGGGGAAACGCTGTTACATAAGCTGCAATGACCAATCAAAATACAAGTATATGAGAATTCAATAAACTTGACAATGAACCTTGGTTATAATAATTAATGCTTTAATGTTAGGGTTAGACTAAAATAGAAATCATTCTAACTAATAATAAATTTTACTAAAAAATTCAAAATTACCAATTTTAAATTTAATCTGTATTGAGTTTGAAAAATTATAAAATTATTTAAAGAAGAAATTGAGGAAAATATATATATGTTTTGTTATTTATTCTGTTTTTATTGAAAGGCCAAACATTAAGTTGGAAAAAAACGTTAAAATCTAATGTTGCTCTGAGCTTCGTTACAACTTAGATACATTTGAAGGGATGATATTGGCAGGGAAGGGTGAAATCGTACAAAAGACAATACATACACAATCAGATTATAATGCACAAACACGTAGACATATTTAGATATATAAACACGCAAAAAAGCAACAAAACAGGAAATAGGTGTCCATGGCCTTTAAAAAAAACGACAACATATACATACAATGAAAGACACATATAAGCGATTATACACACATACATTGATAAAGACACACACATATACACACCAAGAACTATTCGATTTTGAAAGTGTTAGTAGACAAATTCAAACATTCTATTAAAATATAACTTATATGGGCAAAGATATATAGATAAAAATGGTTGAATAGATAAAATTTAATATGGGTAGAATAGAAAAACAAATATTCGTCAATGAACAACATAAGCAAAAAGAACATTAAAATATAGAGAAATGGATAGAAAAATATATATGCATACATAAATAAGAAAAAACCAAATTCAAATGTTCAAGCAAAACGTAACACCTAAAAATAACACTAACATATGAAAAAGAAACCTCCTAAGCACACAAATATATATAAATATCTCATATATACGTATTAGTACAAATATATAACAATATGTGAAATAAATTTAAAAATACATATGTATGTTTACACACATTCTTCACTACAGATATAAATATACAAAAGTATACTTATGTACATACATATACATACACCTATACATACATACACACATGCATACACATATATATACGCATAGAAATAAATATAAATATATCAACCTACACCGCAACATAAAAAAAACAAAAAAAAGGTGAATAAATAAATAAGTAAATATATATACATACATATATATACACATACACAAACATATACATACATGCATATATAGACACATACACAAATATATACTTACATGCACATACACACATATCCACACATATATATATATATATATATATATATATATATATGTATTTAAATAAAAAGAAAGAACAGTAAGATATATAATCTGGTGTTATTTTTATTTTTACAAAATAGTGCTCAATGTAAATTTACAGAGCATTAATATTATAAATTAATTGATTTAAAATATGTTTTTTTTTCTGCTACACAGTTCTAACCATGTTTCAAAAATGGAAGCTAAAAGCCACGAATTTAATTTTGCAATTAAATTAAAGACATTAGTTCCATTTCATCCTCAAGCGAATTTTTCTATATATATATATACACACACATACATATACATAAACACACACACACATATATATATATATATATATATATATATATATATAAACCTACACATATATTAACAATATTATCCAAATGACAATAAAGGACCATAAAGTCCATACAAGATTAAATGTAACAAAACACAACTGTTGATTATTAGATCTACAAGTAATTATAAAACCCTGATCAAACAAAAAGTAGATTTCAGTTAGTGTTTTGGAATGTATCATCAATGCTAAGATATACACATATACAAATATATATACAAAGATTTACACACATACATATATATATATATATATATATATATATATATATATATATATATATATATATATATATATACACACACACACACACACACACACACACACACACACACACACATCACACACACACATATATATATATATATATATATATATATATACATCCACATCCACACACATATATATATATATATATATATATATAAATATAAATATGAAAAGAATAAATAAAATAAACTGAAAAAATAAATAAAAAAAACAAGTAAAAAATAAATTAACCCAAACAAATAATAAAAAAATTAACAAACCAATAACTGTTCCAAATAAAGAATATAAACAAATTACAAAAATAATCAATGCAAAAATTGGATGAGAAAATACCTATAACTGTTATATAACGGTTAAAAAAAATATTCAAAAGTCAAATAGAGTAAATAAAAATATACAAAATAAAAAATAAGCAAATAACTAAGAAAAAAATTAATCCTAATGAATAAATAAATTAACAAATCACTCCTGCTAAAATAACTATTAGAACTAATAAAAAATAAATACAAATAAGCAAAAACAAGTAAAAATAATCAATCCAAATAAATAAATAAATAAATAAAATAATAAACAAATTAAAAACTGTCCCCAGCTAAAGTAGCAGAATAAACTACGGCAGTCAATCCAAAAATTGGACGAATAAATAGCTTTATATTCCCAGACCAAAACAAAATATTAAATAAGCAACCTAAACACCCCGCCACAATTTTTTACTACATTAATAAAACATCGAAAACCATAAGGAATAAATAAATATAAAATAAAAAATGAAAATAAAAAACAAGTAAAAAAAATTAACCCAAATAAATAAATAAACAAGCCACTTCCACCAAAATAACCACCAGAATGGATTACCCACAATGCACCACTGACCCATATATATAGTCAAGAAAAATCCATCTCTCGCGGTCTGACGATTGCGTCTATCATGAAACAGCCTGTCACCTCTGAGTGTTGACTTCAATGTTCACTTTTAGATTTATATTTACATACACTCTATCTCTGATATTAGAGCACTTTATCCCATAAATATCGCACACTTTAAAACTATATTTCTGCATATATATATATATATATATATATATATAAGTAAAAACAGACACCCTTAAGGATCCATTGATTATATTTTATTTCCCCAGGAAAGTGATTTTTTTTCAAGCATAAAAGAAAAAAGGTTTAAAATTTACATATTATTATTTTTATATGCTTTTGAGGGGTAGTTGATGTAAGGTGATAGAGAGAGGAAGGGAGGAGGAGGAGGAGGATGATAGATATGGTCGAAATTAGAGAAGGAGGGGGAGAGATAGGAATAATTTTAAATCTATCTTTATTAAGTTACTTAAGAGTAATCCTTGGAAATGTGATCTGAGGATCCATGAAAAAATCACTTTCTGGGGAAATAAAATATAATCAATGGACTCTTATGGTTGTCTGTTTTTTAATTAAATTAATATTCATTCTGGTTTTACATTGAGCTCTCTGGATTACGTCCTCCTTGGTATTATCCATATGGATTACCAAACATTTCATTACCTAACTATATATATATATATATATATATATATATATATATATAATAATTATTATTATCGTTTTCTTTTTTTTTTCAGATCCAGCAATCAGCTTTAAAGGCAAAGAAATTCCCAGAACAATACACAGCTGAACATTCTAAGTTGTTTCATGTAAGTTTACATTTTAGATTTTTATTTTTGAGTGAAATCTTTAGATATGGATGTAAAACTTAACTCCAAATCCAAATTCATCTTTAAAAATTAAGCACATTGAGTTTTAAAATATTCTGACCTCATTTAATACAAGCATTTACTGAGTGAAGAGAAATATGGAATTAAAAGACGTAATAAATTATGTGATTATACATGTCATGCAATTGTAAATTTCTTTACATTTAAAATTCAGTATGTTAGCTATGCTCTTCTACCTTTCAGATAACTATTATGGAGATTGGTAATGTTAAACTCCCCAAGGATTGAACTCTTCATCCTTGGCTAACAGGTAGTGTTGAATTACCCTGTCCAACCTGCTAATTAAAAATGAGCCCTCCCTTTTCCATAAGCGCTTCTAACAATTTGTTCTGATGTTAAAAAGTTTCATTTGCCTCTGGAATCTATGCTGGACAATTTCACAGATTAAACACTAGTAACAAAAATCGCTTTGTTAAAAAAAAGAAAAGAAATTGGCACCAATAATAAGTTCTTAAACCCATCAGAGCTTGCCCTAGAAAAATACGCTGCATGGTAAAAAGAAATGAATTCTGAGGAATAGCAACAAATGTGTTGATGTCAAGAAAAGAGTTCCAGCTGTTTTTGAGTTTGTCTCTAAAGCCAGAGAAACAGTTAAACAGCATTCATTTTAGCAATTAGTTTTATTTTTCATTTTTAAATAATTTTTGGGGAGAAATAAATCTATGGACATTTAACCAAATGTCTAGAGCAGTAGTCCCCAAACTTTTTTTTTCTCTGGGCTGCATTTTCAGAATTAAAATTTGCTCGCAACTCACTCAATTTTATGTGATAAATAATACATTTGAAAATTTTTAAAAAAATGGAGATGTTTAAAGGGAGATAACCGCGGATTCAAGTCAGAACATTTTTATTGATAACTCCAATTTGCGGACCCTAGTTACTATATTCTTAATATTTTATACAATGCAAAAATATCACAGTGATAAAATCGGTCAGTAATTATTTATCAATCATTCCACCTCACCTGCTATCCTCTTTTGTGGCACATATGAGGCATGCCACACCATTTGGGAATCACTGGTTTAGAGCATTAACGTTTCAGCCATGAAACCTAAGTTCAAATCTCATTATATATACTTCATTAGTCAGTGATGTGATTTCTTGTCCTGGAAAGTGTGCAGTGCTATCAGAAATTTCTGGAAAACCATGCCACATGTTGACCCACTCCTTGTGCATAGGTAGTAGAAACTGTTTAAAAGTCATCAATAGTTGTGCTAGTATGTTAATAGCAGAGCCCTGTGATGCTGCTCCTACTGTTTAATAGAGAATTGTCTTTACTTTTTTTTTTTTTTATCGGTATCACCTCATGCAAGGCAGTAAAGCCACTAAGACACAAGGGGTTACAGGGTGTGGAAGAATTAGGAACAGAAACATTAATAATCCGCAGGAAGAGGAAAGAGTAATTAGGTCGACAGTAGATAGCGACTGACGTTGCATTTAAATTTTTGCAGATTAAAGTTGGCTGGAAAACATGGAGCCCGAACTACAAGCGAGAAGTGCGAGAAAAGCAACTGTTAACATAGAATTTATGGTTACATCTAGCCAATTCAACTGTAAATTGATGAGACCTTGTTGCTAATCTGGTACTGTGCTTAAATTCAAAAAGTCTAGGTACCATAGCGAAGAGCTCATCTGAACAATCACGTGATAGAGAGAGAGAGAGGGAGGAGGATGATGATGATAGATATGGTCGAAATTAGAGAAGGAGCGGGAGAGATATGAATAATTTTAAATCTATCTTTATTAAGTTACTTAAGAGTAATCCTTGGAAATGTGATCTGAGGATCCATGAAAAAATCACTTTCTGGGGAAATAAAATATAATCAATGGACTCTTATGGTTGTCTGTTTTTTAATTAAATTAATATTCACTCTGGTTTTACATTGAGCTCATCTGAACAATCACCATGAAAGTATTTATAGAAAAAATACAGAGAGGCAACCTTACAGAGGTGATAAAGTAACTGAAGTTAAGGTGCCAATCAGGATCAATAATATTGCTGATTCTTCTGGATTTTATCAAGAAGCTAAAGGTTAATTAGCAGGTACACCAGACCTTATGTGGCAGCAATATTTTAAGCATGGACAATGGTAGACATAGATATTTAAGATAGATTCTGGAGAGAAAAATTGTCTTGCATGGCACAATGAATCAACTTTCTTAAAAGCATGAAACTTAAATTACCAGTTAAGGAACATTCTTTATGAACATTTCAAGATGGAAGCACCAAGAAAAAAAAAATTTTCAGCATCAAGGGTTTTTTTTTTCACAAAAAAAAAATAAAAATTTATATACATTTTTTATCAGTTTTACAAATTACATCTTTTTATGTTCATCTAGTAAACTGTTGAAATATGAATGGGATCTTAAATAATTTCGTAAATGCTACCAGTTAACTTTGATCTTCAAAAATTTAAATGCAGCATCAACTGTTATTTTTGTCTTAATTCCTGTTCTTTTATTGTTCTCTCTCCTTAATAATATTTTTATTTTTCTCTTATTCTTTCTCTCTCTATAATCCCTTGCATCTTAGCAGCTTTATTACCTTGCTTGGGGTGAAATGATGAAAAAAAATAATGGAAACAGAGTTTATACGAGCTTCTAGAATAGGAAAAATTTTAGAAACATTTAAACAGTTACAGATTTTTCTTTGAATGTTGGATGTCTGTGCAGATGCAACATTTCAAATCAGTCAACGAAGGAATTTTATGACATGTACCAGTGAAAGTAGTCACTTTCCTTGTTGAAAAAACATCCACAGGTTGCATGTATTCTCTACCAAAAAGAGTTCATGCAGGTCCCCAATAACACTAACAGTCAATACAAATGGTTACTATAAGAATTCAGATCAACAACCAAAAGTATTCCCCAGCAGTCACCCATCTGAGTACTGACCAGGCTGAATGTTGCTCAACTTCAGTGATCGGATGTGAACAGTGTTTTAATGTGATATGATTGTAAGCATCTTAAGATAATACTACAGTAAATTGTCACCATTTCATATTTTTAATTTCATGTGTGCGCACTGTTTGTTTTTGATTTTGTCAACTGCATAGTATAGTAAGGTCAGCTGAGGATCATCTGTGAGAAAAAGAGTGCCATGATACAATTCACTCCACCAGACATTTGGAAACGGCATGCTGCACTGCTTGGCATTCACACTGGAAGTTCCAATACAAACATTTCAGTGTGTTTGGGTGTCAATCTGAGGACAGTGCAGAAGATTTGGAAAGAATTGGATTAGTCTAATGGTGATTACAAAGTAACAGCAGCACGGAAAACTCACTCTGATGGTTCTGATAAGAAAAGAACTAAATTTGTTGGTGAGGCCCTCAAACTCAACATAGACCTACATCAAGTGTCTTGAGGAGGTAGTGCTGCCCTTTGGCAAGAGGGTGGCTGCTGGAATATCCTATGTCTGGAAACAGGACTCTGCACCATGCCACACAAGCAGGAGAACCCAGTCATGGTTTTCAAACAATTTCTGTGACCACATCACCCCTTACTTCTGGCCACATGACTTCCCACACTGTGTGGGTGCATTTGAGTGAAAGATCAACAAAACTCCTTGTAACACCAAAGATGAACTGAAAGCAAGGATTATATCAGCATTTATCAACTTAAATAAGGAGACTGTCCAGAAGAGTTGCAAGAGATTCCAAAGTCGTCTGCAGACCGTTGTTGAAGCCAGTGGCAATTTTATTGAATAAATCTAGTCTAGTATTTAAAGATATTTTTGTGCAATTTTGGTAAATATATCTGTTAAAATGAGATGTCTGTGTTATTTTTATTTTTGCGTAATTTAGAAGATAAATTATCCATTGCACACTGTACATTATTACTTAAATAAAAGCTCAGATTCCACAAACAAAATATTAGTTGTGTTTATGTCTCATAATTGATCACAGGTAACAAAACAGTTTGTATCAATAGACTTTGTACATATTTATCTCCCTCTGAGCAGAATAAGAAAAGAAAATAGAAAAAATCCTACATAGATAGTTTTTGAATTTTAAATAAATAAAAATAATTTTACTTTTTGCACAGGATTTATTATTAATTTACAGTGTCATAAAAAGAGGAACAAAAGTTTTAGATTAAAATTTAAAAAAACAACCTAAAAATAAGCACAAAGGAGAGAAATTTAAATATCTATTATAAAAGCTTCCAGTTGTAAATACTAACTCATTATAAATGTATATTGTAAAATATTAAATAAGCTGTGCTCTTTAAAATATTACATTTCATAGAAAACATGTTAGTTTTTAATACACATGGAATGTTTTGGGAGTGTTTGAATTTTTTCTTTCTATGTCTATATTAAGCAATTTTTCTTACTCTCACTAATTTCAATAGACATAGTATTTTCGCTATAAGTTTCTGTTCAGTATCTGTCAATATTTCTGAGATGTTTCTGTTCATGTTATAAAATAACCCCAGCGACAATGGTAGTAGTAATTCTGAATTACTTTATTCACATACCAATGAGATACAAATACAAAAAAAATACTTGGCCACTGGTCACTCGCCTATTTAATACTACTGGAGGAGATAACTTATGTCCTCTAGTGTTTGCTTGTGAAAGTTCCCCCCTTATGTAATGAGACCTTCCAATTTTATTCTACACATGTCATGTTATATTCACTCAGTAATGAACAGGAAAAATTGCTTGGTCCTCTTTTTTTGGAACACAGCTCTCCAATCTCAAGCCATTATCCATTACACCATCCAAGCTTACAGCAGCTGGTATTCCTAAGTGGTTACCCATCTAGGTACTGACTGGGCTCAACGTGCTTAACTTTGGTGATTGTATGAAAACCAGTGTTTCATTGTGATATGGCCATAAGTCCTTTATTGTGAAAGTACCATATTGAAGAGACGCATTACTGATAGCAAGATGCCACTTTTTATATGGGATATTTATGGATATGTTTGGCGATGTGAACTTTGTCAGGGTAATATCTAGTAAGAGGAGGTAAATCCTGCACTCTGCAAATCTGTTAGTATTTGTATTTTTATATACAGTAAAAAAAAATACATTGTTAGAAGCAAAGAAAAGAGTACTGAACTCTTATGTGATATCTGTCCTCCTATATGGCAGTAAATGCTGGACAATCTCCTCAAAGATGAAGAAGAGACTTGAAGCAACAGAAATGTGGTTCTACAGAAGGATGCTGAGGATACCATGGACCGAATATGTGAGCAACATCGGGGTTTTATAGAAAAAGGAGTCTTATACTTTACATCAGTTGAAATTTCTGAGGCACATAATAAAGGAGGGCTTGGAAATTCTGACACTCACAAGGCAGAGTGAAAGCAAGAGGTATAGGAAAACCATACATAACATATTTAGTGATTTTGAGTAAATGGATGGTGGAACAGGGTTTAGGAGACATAACAAAATGAGAAAAACTTAAGAGCTACAAAAGACATGAAATTGTGGAGAGCCATGATCGCCTACATCCTGAGGAGATATCGCACATAAATAAAATAGGATTTGTTAACAAATCACAATATCTATCAGAGAGATGAAATTTAAATTTTTATTATTGCATTATTCCAAAATTTTAACACATTAACAGATAATGTCAATAACTGAGCATAAATAGTTATTAATTAAAAAAATTAGTAATTAATGTATAATATTATCCATAACTACATGTACAAGAATGTTGTTTTTGTTAAAAGTTAAAAAATAACCATAAATAAGTAAAAAAATGGGTATATTGTCAAAAATTCTTTTTTCTATAATATAGCAGTTTGTGCTATGTTATAATGCTTATTACCTAAACAATAATAGATTTTTTTTTGAACATTAAAGTATATTTAATCACATCTCCCTAATAACTGTCATGATCTGTAAGTAGGAATTGAGCTGCTTTTCAGTTAAACCAATCTATAAGATTTCTACCTAATTACATGTAGATGATTATCTTTATATATCATGTTCAAGTATCGGATGTTCACCCACACACACATGGCCAATTAAAAACACCAACATTTGCCAAGTTATAAAGCATCATAAAGATTGTACATATTTAATTTCCTTCCAATATGTTCGCCAGACTTTGAGGATACAGCTTCTGATTTATTTTTCTAAACAAGTTTTCTGAAATTGTAACAAAACATTCTGCAGATTTGGTGGTGTAATAGATAACAGCTAGGAATGAGATCAGAGATCTGAGTTTGAATTCCAGTTGGATTTTTTTATGTTCACTTATATGCAAATACCCTTTGGAAAGGTATGAATCCATCTCCTCCATCAGGTATGGGTGAAATAGTAAAACTTATATATGAAAAATCATTGTTATTCTCAAAAAAAAAAATAAAAAATTAGAATTAGTCTTACAATCCAAAATGTGTTTTGCCTTTAAATAACCCACAAAGAGTTAATAATCCATAAAAACAATCAATGAAAATTTTTTTGTTTTACCTTTTTGTTCACACATTGTTTGAATTAAATTTCACTCAGTTATCACAGAGCTGTATTTTTTTTTATACAAATAAAGTTAAAAAATTTTTTTAAGTGCACACGAACTTTATGGACGTCCTGCGTGTGTGTGTATATATATATATATATATATATATATATATATATATATATATATATATATATCCTGTTAAGAACTTGCTCGTCTTGAAATGGGCAAATTCAATCTCTTTTTGAAAGAAATGTAATATTTTTGTTTTAATTTAATTTTGTCTTGATTCTCTACAATGTCTTCCTACCTTTGCTTGAATGTTTGTTTTTGTATATATATATATATATATATAAAACATTTAATGGTCAGTGAGTATTCTATATCTGAAGATTGCGTATCCACATGAAACTCCGAGTTGTGTTAATGATGTCTATTCATTAATATATGCTTAATATATGCTGTTGTTGTGGCCTGTTTAGGGGCCAGAAAAGAAAGACACAAAAGACGAAGGTAGGTTGAACAAGTGTATCGAAATAACAGATATATACAAAGTAAGAGTGTTAGTAATGAGCAGATAGAAGTGTCCGTCCGAATGATCAGGTTACACTGCGTCTCAGCTGCCCAATGACTGCCCATTAGGATGTCTTGCAGTTAGTATTTATGAGAGGAGGAAGAGTTCATTCTACTGTAGGAGGGTTTACCACAATAAACATTGAGCACTGTTTTTATAACATCTAAGAAAAGTATATATGTGAAAGTATTTGTGTGTATTTGTATGCTTTTATCATACATATATATATATATATATATATATATATATATATATATATGTCTGTACTGATAATGTATTTGGTAATGTAATGTTAATTAATTGGTGTTGCAGCATTTAGTGACATTTTTCTTTTTGGTAGAGACTGACTAGCGATTATGAGAATGCAGTTGGTATTTGTACTTATACAAAGTTAAAACTTAATTATTTTTATATATATATATATATATATATATATATATATATATATATATATATATATATATATTGTTTTACTCCCAGGTGTACATACATGTTTGTGCTGGGGTATCTATTTTGCTGCAGCTCAACTCTCTAAATAAGTTATCTGAAAGCTCATTCTTTGAAATAATTTATCTAGAAACCAAACACAGGTTTGTTTTTCTGTTATTGCTTTGTTTTTTGTTTTGTTTGTGATTTTATTTTTTTATAGGAGTATATAGGCTCTCCTCTCACCCAGTCCATACTTCTCCCCCTTGTCTTGAACAGGAGAAGAGGTTCATCCCTTGTTTCCTGTTTAGGAAGGGGTTCCCAGTTTCTTTCCTTTTCTCAGGCCTTAATAGTAGAGTTATCATGATATGTGTGGGTGGTTGCAAAGTCTCTTCATGTACCAGGTTGGTAGTTTTCTGGTTGCTGTTCCCAACTGGTTGTTAGGGATCCAAACTCTTGCATAGTGTCTTGAGAGGCTACTCTGATCAACAGTTATATAATATTGCGGTTCTTGCAGTACCATGCTGCACATGGAAGGGTGTCCCTGCAAGCATCTCCAGTGGGCAATCCTGAGTTCACACTATGTTGCAGTCTGCACCAGTTCCCTTTCTGCATGTTACATTAGACAACTGACTGCTAGTACTACCCTATGACTTTCCTTACATCATGACTATAAGCAACCAAAGTGATAAAAAATAAACCAGCTCAATAAAAAAACACCTAAACCCCTCACAACCTTTCTTTCTCCAACATTCATGGTATTCTTACCAACTTCTGCATTGTGGAAAGGTTCCTCTTTGAAAATACTCTGGACATCTTAGCGCTCTGTGAAACTAATCTCCTCCTCTGATTTCTGGATTCCTAGCTACCTTCCTCTCATTAGGAAGGACTCTTATGTCCACATGTATGGCCTGAGAGTTTATGTCTGTGAACATCTCCTGATGGCTAGGGAACACTCTCTTGAATCTCCAGACCATTTTTACATGTGTCTCCGCTTCTCTCTACTTAACTCAATCAGCTATCTTTTCTTTCTCTACCATTCCCCTTCCTCTCAAGACTGTTGCATTCTAGATAGTATTTCTGATAATATAGACAAGGCCATCTTCCTACACCTGCTTGCAAATATATTTATGTTTGGTGACTTTAATACCAATCATACCAGGTGGCTTAAACACACTGACCTTGCTGGTATCCAAATTTTAACTTCTCACACAAGTGGTTGAGCTCCCCACAAATTTCCCCAGTAACCTTGACAGACACGCTTCTCTTCTCAATTTCTTTTTTATCTTTATCCCTGACCCTGCTCTGCCCTTTTGGCAACTCCAGTCATGTGTTAATGTCTTTAAACATCTCCTACCAACAGAATATCTATGTGTTATCAACAGGCATATTGGGACTCAGTCCATGATTTCCTTTGTGACGTCCTTTGGAATTCTGTTCAAAACTGCATGTTTGAGGTCTCCTCCGAGTGAAATACCAAGTTAAACAATGTTCATCTCCTTGGTTCTCACCAGCATGCATGGACGCTATAGCTCACAGGTATCACTTCTTTCAGCTGTACTAGAGCAACACATTTGTTTGCAACAGACATCTCTTTGTCTCTATTTGTAACGAGTGCAAGAGTGTCCTCAAGGAAGAAAAGTTACTGTTTGCTGATAGAATGAAACGATGTGTAGCATCTTGTAAGTTTGGTTCTAGAGATTATTGGTGGCTCTGCAAGAGTGTGCTGAATAACAGCAAATCCTCAAACCCTCCTATTCAATCAATTTGAAGTCTTGACATTTACAGGAGATAAAGTTGAATGCTTTACTCAGAAATTCTCTTCCAACTGGACACTTGGCTCATTTAGAGTATTCAAACCTGATTTCCCCCCTAGAACTGAGGCTCTACTGAGTGATATGCACATAACCCCGTCACTGGTCTTGGACATCATTTCTAAATTAGACTCCTATAAGTCAAGTGGAAGTGGCATTGTCCTAAAAAAAGTACTCCTGAGTTGGTTCCAGTTCTTGCCAAACTCTACAATTGACTCCCTGCTTCCTGCTTTCCAACTTGTTGGAAGTCCTCCTCTGTAGTTCATGTTTTTAAGAACTCTGAAGAGCCTTCTGACCCCTCTATCACCCTGTTAGTCTCTTACCGCTTTTCAGCAAAGTATTTGAGGCTTTAATCGATGCTGAAGTGGCTAGGCATCTTACCTCTCATGACCTACTCTCTGACAAAAAATATGGCTTCCATTCTGCCCAGTCTACTGCTGATGTGCTTGCAGCCATCACTCTATATGTATATGAAGCTCTTGATAATAATGGCAAAGCCTGAGCTGTGGCTCTAGATATCTCAAAGGCGTTTGACAGGGTTTGGCATGCTGGTCTTCTACCTAAGCTTCAGGGCTATGGTATTACAGAACAATTGTTTGATTTAATCCAGTC